AGCAGAAATGGCTAAGATTTCAGCCTATGTGAAGGATTACTCACAAGAAAGATATATATTGGTTTGGAGAAGATGGATAGATTATATTGAGAACAAATATGGAACTAAAAAGTTTCATTTGGTTTTTGAGTAAATTTGTGATTGCTAATGTAGTATATTTTATTAAAATTAAAAATTTTGTAATAATGATTTGATATGTCAGTTTAGGAGAGAGCTAAAGGATGTTATAGAATTGTTAACTTAAGGGTAATATAATTTAAGACAGAGTATAATTATTGTATTGTAAACCCTGTGTGTAGCTCTGGGAAGTCGGGGGGGAAGGGAGGGGGGTGGGAAAGGGTGGGGCTTGAGGGAGGTGGGGATATATATTGTAAAACTTTTAAAAATTTTCAATAAAAAAAAAAAAAGATTGTTTGAAGTAAATTAAACAGTTATCCTATTATTATATTCAGTGGCAATACCAAAAGCAAACTCTTGTATACTGCAAAAGATATACGATTCAGCAAAGAGGCTATCATGAAAGATTGTCTTTTTTTAAAAAAAATTGTAATGAGCTCCTTAATACAGTGGCTTATTCTCTAGTTACTTAATAATGTACTGCTTTTTAGCAATGAGTGAGTGGTTTCACATCATCAACATAGAATGGCAGAGGGCTACAAAGCATAATTTATTTTATGCCTCTTATTAACTGTCTGATATATTATCAAGACATGTGTAAACTTCTTTTTACAAACAAAATCTAAACCCAAATAAAAAGATATCCCCCCCCAAACGATTATTTTGGAAGTGACCTTTCTCTGAGGATTCCATACATTTTTTAAAAAAATCTTCCACTACTGAGTGGAAGCAGTTATGGCAGTTTCTCCCCTTCTCCTACTCAGTGGAGACTCCCTCCATGGATAGTTATGTTATGGATAGTCCATAACAAACATGACAGATGCACAATTGCCTTTGAATGTGAATAAGTTGTTGCAGCATTCCTTAATGACAGAACCAACTTGGGGAAATGTAGACTTGGAAGAAGCATGAGACAAAGAGTGCTGCCAAAGAGTGTTGCTTTGAATGTTGGTGTTGCAGAGACCTTAGGAGACACCTGGAATTTCTTGGTCATCTCCTATCCAATTAGTTACTAATCTTGTTCTTCCTTTCCAAGTCCAATTAAAATATTGCTTTAGAGCAGGAGTGTCAAACTGCCAGCCTGTGGGCCGGTTTCATCATACCGAAGCTACGCCCACCCCATTGCCGGCAATGCAAAGAGTCGTGATACGTCGTGACACGTCACGTGATGTGGTGAGTTTGACACCCGTGCTTTAGAGCAAACAGCAGCCCATCAGTTGTCATTATAAATTATTACATGTTAAAGATCAATCACAATACCATCAAATATCTAACCCCTTTCACATTTAAAAAAATAAATAAAAAATCAAAACATAATAGTTTGGATTTTGGGTTGTTATTCTATTTTGTGATTATGTTTACCTTTACTGGACATGGAGTAGGATCAAATCTCTTTGCACAAACTAAAAACACATCAGGTTGTGGCTTGCCATGCTTTACTTCAGGGTCATCTCCCAAGACAATATGATGAAATAATCCAAAGAAGTCTTTGTGTTGGCTTGTTTTCATTTCAAATGTCACTTGAGATGAACTAGTAGCAACAGCTGTGGGAATATTATGTTCGTGTAGATGGCGGATTAGTTTTTCAACTCCTGTGTAACAAAGATACACAAATACCGTACTTTAAATGCACTGATTAATATACCCACACAAACATATAGACACTTTTTTCTTACCTTTTTCCTATCCCTTTTTTTGCCCTACCTTACTTTTACTGGTAAATAACAATTCAAACAATAGTCTTTATTGTTTCTGCCTATATATATATACATATATCTAAAGTATCTAATAAAAAGAAAATATTCAAATAGAAAATCCCCAAGTAATACCTTAATAATAAATAAGTTAGTTTCCCATGCATATACACACATACAAATATATGCACATAAAAAAACATATAAAAGTTTTGAAGATCCACCAACTGATTCTCATTACTGATGGATCAATGGCCATCTCCCTTTCTATGAAGATACTTCTCACTGACACATGGATAAGGCCTCTCCATATAAAACATAAAGCCCACTGGGACAGGCTCTACATACTATATGTATTACAATAATCCATAGAAAGCCAAGTTGCTATAATGGTTAAGGCATCAGGATGTAAACCATGTGAGTTCTAGTCCCATCTTAACTACAAAGCCAGCTAGGTGACCTTGGGCCAGTCCTTGTCTCTCAGCCTTAGGAAAGGAAGCAATGACAAACCACTTCCAAAGTCTTGCCAAAACAACTGTAGGGACAAGTTTAGGCGTCAACACAGACTTGAAGGAACAACAATAACAATCAAAAAAAGCAAAGAAAGAGGCCCTATTTCTATGTCATTTGATCACATGAATACGGAAAAGCAATTTTGCCTTACACGAAGACAGTAGTAAATTCTATGCCTCAAAGTTCAAAGAAACATAAGTTTCTTAATCTTATTCTAATTATTTGAAGGTGCAAATAAATGTTATTTGGTCTGTTTTATTAAATAATAAACATACAAAGATATTTGGGAAGTTGGGCTTGTTACTTTTAAAATATTCTCGGAACATGATAATCAAAATTATCAATCTCTCCTCAGCTTGGCTAAAGAAAATTGAAAACTTGGAAAGACAGAACACTTACTGATTACAAGAAAGAAATTATAATTTTTCAAATACATTTTACTGTACCTCAGAGGTCCTAATAACCAGCCATTAAATAGTAAAAAAAAGAATATGCTCAGATATTATTAAATTATTACAACACATTACAATATTTCTCTAATTATTGGGCCTATAATTATAATCAGTTATCCTGGGAACAATTACTTTTGTTTCAAGAAATATATTTGCATAAGTACTAATTACAAAATATTGGTATTTGACTTGCTATTGTGAGAAACTGTTTATTTTTTTCATTGTGTAAAACAGTGGTTCTCAACCTTTTTAATGCCGTGACCCCCAACCGGTCATAAGTCGAGGACTAAACCGGTCGTAAGTCGGACTAAACCGGTCGTAAGTCGAGGACTAAACCGGTCGTAAGTCGAGGACTACCCAACCGGTTGTAAGTCGAGGACTTTCCCTGCCCGGGAGCGCTGCACATGTGTGGTTCCGCCCCCTGCGCCGGTCGAGGCGTAGCTGGTAAGCGGCAGAGACGGAGCAGGCCGACCACCAGCTGGCCCAGCTCAAGGGAGGTAAGGCACCCGCTGGAAAAGGGAAAAAAATGGCAGACAGCCTTGCTTGGCGACCCCCGTGAAATGGTCGATTGACCCCAAATGGGGTCGCGACCCATAGGTTGAGAACCGCTGGTGTAAAACTAGTTTAAAAAACATTTTTCAGCTTCTTATACCAAGATACAAACCTAGGTGAAAAAGGGAAAATGAATTGCCATAGGTTTCTTATATGAAAAAAAAATGCAATCTGCGTATTGTTCTGCATTTAAATAGTTTAACATGACTTCATTTTAATGTTTCAAAGAGACCTTTCTCTTAGGCTAAATCTAAAAATAGATATTTTCAAGAAACTTTATTTTCTATAAAACTCATGGAAATAAAAAGTGATTGATTAACATCAAAGTATTCATTTAAATTATGTCAATTTAAATAAATTAAATTTATCACATTTCATTCTTCTAATTAATTTATATCACAGTATTTAATAGGCCTGTTCTAGCAATTAGAACATTATACATTTGCAACTAAATCTAGGATGTATATTATCTAACCATAATCCAAGTCCTTTAATTATCCTACTCACATGTACTTTGCATAGAGACATTTTTACACAAATTCAAATTGAAATTGTCAAATTAAGGGATTTCTGTTTGATGATTTATGTACTGATCTTTATTAAACATAACACCTTCAAACCATGTCTAGAACATAGAAAAAGGCTCACAATTATTAAGCAGAACAATTAAGAGATCTAGCTTGATTAGTACATATATATAAATGCCATAAATAAATAAATATTAGTTTTCAAATGGGTCCAAGTGCTTCTAATTATCTAGTGACTCTGATTGTAGAAGAATCAGATAATAGATCTGACTGAAAGTATCGTACTCTTATGAACAGGAGTGTCAGGACCCACTTCAATACCTCATCCCAAGAAAGCAGAACTCATGGAAGCAAGCTCTTCCAAAAGGAACTTTTATTAGGAGAAGCCAATAACATACTAGACAGGATCTGAGGGGTTCCCCCTCAGATCGATAATTTAAAGTGTCCCCAAGCAAACCCCACCCCCCTAGTTCAAACTGGCCAATCTCCAGGTGTTACGTCCATCGTGGGAAAGGGAAGATAACATCAGGCCGGCTCTGGCTGCAACTGTGATGTTTAGGCGATTCTTCGCACCTTCTCTTGAGAGCAGAGAGATAAGCCGGTCGCCGGAGGCTGTATTCCTTTCTACCTCCCCCTTTTCTAGTTGACAGTTTAAGGAGAGGAAATTACAGAGAGAAATAGTGCAGGAAAGCAAAGTGTTACATTTTAGCAATAGAGGAAGCTAAGAAATAACACAGGAGAGCAGAGTGTTACATTGTAGCAATAAACCCGCGATCATTCCCCCCTCCCTCTAGGAGTATGGCAGAACCCAGGGAGAGAAGAGAATGGAGTTTGGGTTCGAGAAAGAAGCAAGGAAAGTATGAGATCAGAAAGATATGGATTCTGACATCCTGCCCCCCTTAAAAATATGAGAGATTAATCTGTTGAGAGACAAAACAAATAACGAGAGGTTAGTCTGGTTTGTTTGGGTAGTTGGTGTGAAACTTTCTTAATAATTTGGGGGCTCTAACGTGACATTTGTGCACCCATTTGTTTTGGGAAGAAGGAAGGTGCTTCCACGCTACTAGGTATTGGGTCGCCCCATGGTATTTTCGGGAGTCAAGGATTTCTTTTATTTCAAAATGCTGCTCCCCTTCGACCATAATGGGAGAAGGCGGTGGGGCAATGTCGTTGCTCTCGTTTTAGTAGGCTGCAGTGGAAGATAAGGTGAATCTGCTTGAGGGTTTTTGGTAATTCTAACTCTATTGTTACTAGGTTTATGATTCTTTTGATGGGGAACGGTCCCATGTATTTCAGTCCTAATTTCTTGGATGGTTGCAGGGATTTCAGGTATTTTGTGGATAAGTAAACCATTTCCCCTACGATGAATGGTTTTGATTTGACTCTTTTCTTATCTGCTTGTGCTTTATAGGTCTGTCTAGCTTCATCTAGTGCTTTTCTAACTACTGGCCAGGTTTTTTTTAATTGTGTGATCCACTCCTTCAAGGAGGGAATGGTTAGCTCGGTGGCGCTTAATTCCGGTATTGGGTTGAAGCTTTGGCCCGTAGCTACTTGGAATGGGGTGTAGCCCGTGCTGGAATGGACCACGTTGTCGTATGCCACTTCTGGGAAAGGGAGCAGGTCTGCTAGAAATTAATAAAGCATCTTAGATATTGTTCAAGTACTGAGTTCGAACGTTGTTCCCCCATTCATCTGAGGATGATGACTAGATGACAGCCCCTGGGTGGTCCCCTGAAGGGATAGGAATTCTTTCCAAAGTCCGATGTGAATTGTACCCCCTGTCCGATATTATGCATTGGGGTGCCCCATGCAGTCTATATATGTGCTGGACAAACAGTTTTGCTAAGGCTTTAGTGGTGGGGATTTTTGGACAAAGGATGAAGTGTACTTATTTTGAGAATAAGTCTGTGACCACCCAGATCGCTGTGTTTCCATTACTTTCTGGTAGTTCTAATATAAAGTACATGGAGATTTCCCTCCAGGAGGCTGAGGGGCTTGCCACTGGCTGTAACAGTCCGGGGGCTTTCTCTTGCAGTCTCTTAGCAGCTGCCCAATTCGGACAGCTGGCCACATAGCTCTCAATGTCCTTTTTCATAGATGGCCACCAGAACTGTCTTTTTACTAGATGCAGTGTTTTCACGAACCCAAAGTGACCTGCTGGTTTCGTGTCATGGCAGAGTTGCATAAACATAATCTTTGGGGTTTGGGGGATGTACAGCTTCTCCCCCACCCATGACAAGCCGTCAGTGATAGTGCACACATTTTTGTGGCTCTGGTACCATTCATCGGTTTCTGAATTTGATCCTTACTTGGCTGGCTATCGGCTGCTTTAGTTTTGCCTGAGCTCTTGTGGTTACTTGTGCTGCCAGCTGCGCTTCCAGCATGAGCAGCTTGGAGATGGTTGGCCAGGAGCTATTGTACTGGGGCATGCGGGATAGGGCATCTGCCAGGAAATTCCTCTCCCCAGTAAGTGTTTGATTTTGAATGTAAACCAGTGGAAGTGCTGTGATCACCAGGCTTGTTTGGGGATGAGTTTTCTGGGCATTTTCAGAGCTTCGAAGTTCTTATGGTCTGTCCAGACCTGGAATGGGATCTTATTCCCTTCCAGGAAGTGCCGCCAGGTGAGGAGTGCCTACCGCACAACATACGCCTTTTTTCCCTACACCACCCAACGTTGCTCCGTGTCAGAGAGTTTTCTGGGCGTGTAGGCAGAGGGTTGCAACTGCCCCTTGTCATTTTCCTGTAGCAATACTGCTCCTACTGCTACATCACTTGCATCAACTTGGATTACAAATGGCTTATCTGGGTCAGGGTGTTTTAGGACCGGTTCAGCAGAAAAAAGTATTTTTAGTCT